CGCGAGGGAAGGGGAGCGGGTCCGGCGGGGTGGGCGTGCGAGGGGAGGGAGCGGGTCGCCGGCGCGGTGGGGGCGCGAGGGGAAGGAGCGGGTCGCCGGTGGGGTGGGCGCGCGAGGGAAGGGGACATGGTCGCCGACGGGGTTGAAGATAAGACAGAGAGAGAAAGAGAGTACGGGGGGAGAGGAGAGAAGGAAAGAGAAGAAGAAAAAAGAAGCTGACATGTGGGTCCCACATGTCAGTTAACGGTCAAACTAAACAGTCAACAAACGATTTGTTTAGGAGCGGGCCCCAACTATCATAATCGTGATCAATTGCAAAGCACTCGGCGATTTGGGTTTTTTAAGACAGCCAACGTCAAAAGTGGTAGGTATCAGTCACAAACAAATTTTCGGTAGTTTTTTGAAACTATAACGCGAAAAGTGGTAGTTTTATGATATTCACTCATAATTTAGACTAGCTCAGTGCATTGTGTGCTGTGAAATTAATTGAACACGTTTTCTTGTGGTGCATCAGTGGATGCATGTTGACAATCATAATTCATTACAATGTCTTTCATGTCCGGCTTAAAAAAATTATCAAGAAAATACACATTGAGAGTTCACAATCATAAAAGATGTAGTTTATATAAATGATGTAAATATAGCATGAGTACTTAAAAAAATATAGATACATTTGAGATGTATCAGCTACTGGATGGAGGGACCGGTGATAGGCTATGGTTGGTGTTAAGGTGTTCGGCAGACGCGATCCGAATTCTCGATCATGTGGTGGGCGGGCCAACGTTTCATTTGAAGCCGAGTTAGCGAGTGTCACCCATCATGGATTACCTTGCTCCCATATGAAACCCCTCCCTTTCTTGGAGGGGTGTTGTCTTATGGCATCTAGACGAAGCTCAAGGCATCCGTCTTACTTGGTTAGATGATGATGGAAGCCAAAGACCTCCTTCCCCTTGTCGAGCCTTCGTGATCAGTGAAGCCGATTTCCTAGTCCACTAGTAGAAAACAGGGCTTTAGTCACAGCTCAATATACACATTAGTCCCGGTTGCATTACGAACCGGGACTAATGTGAGCATTAGTCCCGGTTCGAGCGGCTAAAGGCATTAGTCCCGGTTCAAATGAGATCAAGATTAGACCTTTAGTCCTGGTTTGAGACATGAACCGGGACTAAAGGGCACGATGCTCTTTAGTCCCGGTTCGTGTCTCAAACTGGGACTAAAGGGGTTCGTGTCTCAAACTCTACCCCTTATATCGCCATTTCAGTTTTGAAAAAAAAGAAAATGATAAAAACTTCAAAAAAATAAAATCCTTCGAGATGTAGTTATATTACTAAATCTACTAGTTAGGAAAAATTAAAGAACTTAAATTTTGACATGTTTTGCAAAAAAGTGTTATGAAAAAATAAAACGGCTATAATTTTTGCATACGATGCCAGGAAAAAATTATATATCAAAATGTTCAGCACGAAAATCTACATCCAAATTTGATCGATGTAGGCCGTTTTGCAAATTTTTAGAATTCTCAAATTCTAAAAGAAAAAAAGTTATGCTCAAATTTTAGTTTTTTTGAATTTTGGTTGAATCTAGTCAAACTGTGGTCAAACTACTTATTCAAGAAGTATTAGTATTACTAAATAATTATTCAAGAATGTTAGTGTTACTAAATAATTATTTTAGTTTTTTGAATTTTGGTCAAATCTGGTCAAACTGTGGTCAAACTATGGTCAAACTACTTATTTAAGTAATATTAGGGTTACTAAATAATTATAGTTTTTTAGAATAATAGTTTCAAACTTAAACAGTGAAACATGTGACTTCATGCTCAAGCTAAACTCCCGATGGTTAATAGGATTGATATCTTACTATTGTCAGGAAAACAACAATTGCAGAATTGGAAACTAGGGGGAATAGAACTCGGAGGTTAAGCGTGCTCAGGCTGGAGTAGTGACAGGATGGGTGACCGGTCAGGAAGTTAGATGATTTGGAATGATGAGGGGTGATTAGAGAATAGAGATTATAGATTAAATTAAGCAGTGATGAGGGGTAAATTGTAAAATAATTAAGAAATTTGAAAATCAGGAAAATATAGTAGAATTTCCTTTAGTCCCGGTTGATGTTATCAACCGGAACTAAAGGTGGAGCTCCAGATAGCGGCCGCGTGGAGAGCCTTTAGTCCCGGTTCGAGAACCGAGACTAAAGGCCCTCTAGAACCGGGACTAAAGGCCCGTTTTCTACTAGCGGTCTTTGACGGTGTGGTGTTGTTGTGGTGCTATTATGGTGATGTTGTGTGTTTGTTTGATTAGTCCAGGCTTTGTAATGTGTTCTTCTTCATTAATGAAACTAGATAATTTCCCATGCGTTGTTGCGGGATAGCATGAGAGTTTTAGTTGACTCGATAGTTACAGTCTGGGGGACGTGTTGATCCGCATTATATGGCTCCACGTTAATAAGGATTTAGCACAAACATCTTGTTTGCTCTAATGTAACATCGTCAAATAAAACCAATAAACTCCATCCGGTTATTCAGTCATTAGTAACTCTGTTGTAACACTTCTTTTCTCTATCTTATGATAACAAATTATCGATGCACCGAGCTCCTATGGATACTTCAGAATTTCTGCAAACAAAAGCAAGAAATGGCCCGGTACCCCATACATGATCGTGAATTATTACTGGCAAATAGACCGAATTAAGTAGATGAAAAAATAAGTACAATAGCACACGATCGCAGATCCAAAGGTTTGACAAAGGCAGCATCCAACCGGCATGCAAGACACGCGGCGGTACTGAATCCCATGGAACTAAGTTGTTACAAATGATTCAACCGACAGTGAGCCCCTCCTCCAAATTTGTTAATGCAGATCAAAGATGCAATCTAAGCGAGTCCCTATCCAACTATAGATCAAAGCGAGTGTGCGGATCTACAACACCAGCAACACAATAATAATAATAATAGTATGATGCATGCATAGATCAATTTATCATAGTAATTGTGATACTACAGATGTGAACTTGTGGTGAGCAGGCAGTGCATAGGATAAGGGGCATCGTATGTATTTTATTAAAAACTATCAAAAAAGCCCGTGCGTTGCAACGGGAGAAAAAATAACACAGGCTCTTAACGTAACAACCATCACTCAAGACGACAACAATAGATCCATATTTTTCATTTTAGCGAGGCATCATATTTGTGTTGCCTCTTATCCTCTCTCTCACCCTCGTCGGCGGTGGCTTCAATGTTCACACAAACCAAAACATGTTTGAATATTGTTAATCCTAAGGCCTCTCTCTCTCCCGCCCTCTCCCCCTCCCTCTCCCGCC